TACCCAAACCGGATGAAACATTCAAAGGTTTTTGGCGTACAATTAAAGCCAAGAGGCAACTCAATCGAGAGGCACATAAATCCGATGCCTCAGTTGGTGCCTTGTAGAAGTGCTTCGATGTGAACATAAGTCCAATTTGATGCATATTCGACCGAATTTCTCCATCAAAACATAAATCGAGAGGGAGAAAACCGATCAACTCAAAGCAAGACGATTGTATTTGATCGCAACAGAGAACAGTTACACAAAACCAACTGTAGGATAGTCTGGGCTGATTACCCGTTTTTTCCTCACACCTTCGTTTGGAAAATGAGGGCTCAATTTAACGTGCAGCTGAGGCCACATGATATGAAGCCGTTATTGAATGCCAAACAAAGCAGTGCATTTATTGATTTTACCAACACATTCGAATCGCGTCACTCGTCCGTTTGGCAATGAGTTTATCCCACTGGTGGCCAATGAGTAATTCAGCACGCGGTAAAAGCTGATCTAATGAATTCCGTTTCACCTGTCAACAGAAGTAATTACCCATCCCGCCTAACGAGTTGGAAAGGAAGTAAATACTGAGCACCTTATTGATGGTCTCCCACACATACCGATATGGATACCGCAAAATATTTTGCACTGATAAGGGAGGTTTTCGGTAACTGCTACTCTTCAAATGCATTTGCGGAAGTCATATTTTTCACAGATCAAGGTTGGTATATCTTCTCGCTTGATGTTTGTAGTAAAAAACCGTTGGACCTATTTCAATATTATTTTTTCACATTTATTCAGTCTCAGGAGGGGTCAAGTTCAATGTGAAATTCATTCAATTACCGCGTAGTAGCTGGGATTTTAATTTAACCAAAAAGCTTTCCTGTATCAGAAACAGGTATACATTAGCTACCTCAACGTTGATCGTCAGTGGTAAGGATGTGCGGTGTATTTGAGGAAACTGACAAATCCTGTTTGGCAGTCAACTTGGCGAACTGCATGCTAATGGGACTGCCTGCAGTGCTCAAAAATGAAGAAGGGCAAATGGAACATGGACGAGATGAAAGTACAATACCAGTATGACGTCTACGAGTCATTTCAACAAATAAATTCTATAGTGGAAAGCCGGATAAAAATGTGTCAATTGGACACGATATGAAAGGTGTCAGTCAAGAGTGAATAAAACAGGTGTGAGCGTGCGAAAAAGACAGTAAATGAGAAGGGAGGGAGGGAGGGAACAGAAAGTATCACAGAGANNNNTTGTTCTTATGACCATGGTAACAGCAGTGCTTGAATCAGATTACATTGCTTGCACAACTCCAACTTCAGGATCCTAATTGGTATAGATTCCGCAGCTGTTAGGCTCTTCTTACGTAATCCTTTGGTGTGGTTCTTAGGTGCAGTGAAGAAAATTGAAAGTGCTGTTTCTGTGTCAATCCTGTGTCCACTGTCGATCGAATGTTGCAGGATTGAGCTGTTCTAGTTATGTTATCTTCTGTGATTTTATTTTGCAATTGATGCACCAGCAACCATTATCAAAATCGCGAAAACGTTCATTGCGGTTTTCGCACATCGCCCCGCTGCCTTGCGGGTCAGGCTTTCGCTAACTGAAGGTTCCGGTTGTGAATTCCCTAAGAAAATTCACCTCCCTTGGCCTAGGCAACCTGCTGAATTTTCTTCGATTAACAAAAGCTTGACGCGCAGGGAAGCGGGGCGGTGTGAGACCCGTAGTCCATTGGGAGCCGGTCCAGTTCATCGGATCATACGCCTTTCGGACGGGGTCAGACGTCCAACGTGTCTAATCGAGCCGATGACCACTGCCACAACCGAAAAGGTGTAGATGTGGTTCGTACGCCTCGTCATGATTGGTTTGGAATCAGGGTCGTATGGGAGCATTTCATGAGGTGCAACGGAATTGTGACCCTAGACACCCACCACCGACCATACTGAGGCTTTCCGAGGCAATCATCATCATCGTCGTACAGTGAAGCGAACTTCACTGATCGCTGTCAAACTCGCAATGCATATGCATTAGGGTTTGATGGACGGGTACTGCTAGGGTATCCAGTTACTAAGCAGCAGAACGATTAGGGTTCTCAGCCAAAGCCTTTAGTTATGACAAGAACCTAGGCGCAAGCCAGCGGGTGGGTGCATCGAAGTGGAGTCCCATTCACTTGGATCAATTACTCCTCCACCATTTTTTACCGACTGAAACGCAAATTTTAGTCGAGCCCCCAACTTGGAGACGACTTCGTCCGACCACCATTCTTCGACCTTTCAGGCACGATTAAATCTTCGGCTTAGAGAAAGCTCGTTGGGTCAGAGAGTAGCACAAGCCATTTCATCACGTCAAGGTGCAATCTCCTTTTTATTTTGTGGCATCCGAACAATGGTGTGACCTGCGTGCAGCACAGATATGAACCCCCATAGAGAACTTTTAGGCTATATTCCCCGAGAGTTATACCAACAGTCCAAAATTTACAGCACAAATCATGATTGAGAGGTATAGGTTATGAGGGAGTAGACAGATATAGATCCGGACATGGTTCGAAATCTTGTGGAGAGAGTATACCGAGAGGGTGTGAAGAATTTTTGCGGTGGAATGACCAACACACCGGATAATAAACGGAATTCAAATGAGCAAGTTCCAGGGTTGGTGTGTGCGATGCTTTTGTCGCGACCAAGATTCTGTTTTCTTTTCCGATATACTTTCATCGAAATAAAAAAAAGTAATGATACAAAACTATACGGAACGGTAATGCATGTTGTTCAGTGAGTTTACTGTAGAAAGAGTGGGATAAAAAACACAAATCAGCCCACAACACCAAGACCTGTTTAGCTATATCGTTTATCATTAAAAGAACAAGCAAACGTCCAAAACACCCAGAAACGTGAAAGTCATTCGGACTCCAAGACAACGACAATTCCGGTAGCCCTGATGTGCGAGCGATCTCACCACACTGTGGATTAGTCGTGGGAAGAAAACCGGCGCATGACAATTCTCACTCTGATGATCCAGTACTTATAGTGAGTGTCAGATACGCTACATCATTGGCATAAGCACCCTAGCTGCCAAAGATGTTTTTAATCTAACCTTTCGCACACACACACACACACATTATGGTTACAGTGTACTCCGTGGTCGTACCCGGTAGCTGGGCCTCAAACAATGCTCATCACACAAAACGCTGACTTGGTTCCCGCTCCGGTTTGGCTCTTTACATCGGGATTCACGTGACCAGGTGCAGCTTGGATTCTTGAATTTTTGCTCTATGCAGACATTTACCTGGACCAGTTGTGAAAATTAGGCTTATGAATATTCGAAACCTTGACTGTGTCAAATTTCAACCGGACCTCGACTGAGATTCGCTTCCTATTCCGGTATGAGTGAGCATGTGTTTGTGAGGATAGAATAGTAAATTACATAATTAACTATACGGGTATATGCATAAGCATTCATATATGTATATGTATATATGTATGTAAATAACTGTGCACCAACATACGGAACAGACTTGTCGATCCGGATGCGGTGATAAAGACAAAGAAGGTCGAGGAGGGTTAGATGAGGACGTCAGAGGTATCACTATAG